GTTACTGAGGTCATGGTAGGAACACAGCTTGGCAATTGTCACTTGCATAAGTGGGCCTTGAATTTTGGCTGTATAGTTTGTCATAGTAAAAATTAGTAGTTAGTCATTTCCATGGTGTCAAAATGATATCATGGCAAGACCCAACCATTTTCTGGCAGAAAAAACTTTAGGATTATATTTTCTTTACTTGCTTTTGGTGTGGGAGTGATGTTCACTTCAATTCATTTTTAAATGCTTATAATATTTCCTTTTCATGAGGAATGACAAACTATACATTTTCCAAGCTTCTGATACAGATTGCTATGCTCAGAATGAAGTTCATGCTTGTTCTTTTCATTGTCATTTTCATCACAATAAATTATATATAAATTTGAAGGGGAAAACTGAGTGCTTTTCGGAGTGATTGAAGATTGCCCTTCATATCAAAGTCTGCTTAAGGATATTTTGCAAATCTGATGGCTTGCAATATTCAGTAGCCTTTCATTTTTTATGTGCTGATTCCCATAGCTTTTTTTCTTGTGTGCACTGAGCAGTTTTGCTACTTGCCGCATGATCCGCCAGCTGGGTGAGCTGCTTTCTTCATACTCAGAGAATGGCACAAGTGTGAATGAAGCTACATTCACCCTCTTGCATCACATTGTGGGCTCCTTGCATCACCCACACCGACTCCTTGACCCAAGCCTCCTCCGAGCATTCACCTCCATTTGGGAGAATGGGATTCAGCTCCCTGAGGTCTGTTTAGCAGTATCTGATCATAGTGCATTTTGTTGAGACTGAAATATCTTGTCTGCATTTTCTTTTCCTATTTTTAAGGAATGGTCTGATGTGGTGGAGCTGGTGATGCGGCTGTTCATCCATCGTGTCACTGACAAGATCCCATTAGACCAGAATGCCCCCCTACCTGCCATCTCGTAAGTTTCTGATGAATTTTTATTAAATACCTTTATATTAGAAAATAGCTTCATGGTTTAAACATTGGGTTTAACACATTCGTTCCCAACAAGTGATTTTATAATCAGTTTTTACATCTCATGCAACTTGATTTTTGCTCCTGATGGCATGAGATCTAGTTCAAAAAGGAAGGCTCAAGCCTGAGGCCTAGACCCATTCCAAAAATGGATATTTCATGACAGCATTTATGTCTAATTCTTAGCAGATCAGATAAAGGGTGATATGCACCAGATTTGTTTAACTTTAAACTGATTTGTTTTCATAATGGGCATCTATGGGAATAATTTTATCTTTGGTGAACTGATTCCCATAGGGGACCATTGTGAGATCAGATTAGTTTAGCTTAAATGGATTTGGTGCATGTCACCCTAAATGTTTGGTGCCAAGGGGATTAGAGTAAAAGATTTCCCATGTTCAGTACACCATGCCTGCTTTGGAAAATTTCTAAGATGAAAAGAGACTGCCAAGATTTTTAGTAGCATTTAAAAATTAATAGAAGAATAAATTTTTAATTATTACAAGCCCTGTATTCAAATTTTCCATTGTTCTTCATAAAAACTCACCATTGGGGTTTTTAAGTACTGCACGAAAACTTAACTGTCAAGCAGTTAACCATCTCCCAGAGGGGACCATTGTGAAATCATTGTTTAAGTTTAAACTTATGCTGCATTCTGCCTAGAGTGCCAGACCCAAACAAGTTATAGCACCATAATTTGAGGGTTTTTTCTGTTGTACCTGTTATCACATAATATTCATCATGTCAGACATTAAAAATCTTCTAGCTTGCCAAGTTCAGAAATCATGCAGTAAGAAGTACAACAGGAACAAAACCCTTTTTTGAAGCTACTGCTCACAGAGGAAAGAATGAATAGGAAATAAATTTGAAATGTGAAAAATTGCATGAATATGAAAAAATAAACAATATTCCCAGTACAGTATGGTATCACATTGTCAAATTGGAAATGACCAATATTGCCTACACAGATATAGAAGAGCAGAATACTGATGTTGCTCTCCTAAGTTCTCCAAATGTTCATAATTACGAGGGTCACTCAATAAGTTATCTACCTAAATAAGAAAGAAACATCCGAGGGGAAAAATAACACTTTATTTTTCAATGTAGTCACCTTTTAACTCAACACACTTATTCCGCTTTGANATCAAGACACAGTCGAATGCAAGCTGCCTGAAGGAATAACTTCTGGAGCCAAATGACTGAGGATGCCCCAGGTATAACCTCCGATTGATGGGCAGACAAATACATGGCTGCAAGGTGAGTCTTTTCCTCTGATGAAATGAGGTTCCTCTTTATCAACTCGGCAAGAATCTCATCCTTAGAGAGCTGTGGGAAACGATGAGTCACACAATGTAGTGGGTCCTGCTCCCCAGAGCTCTGCAGGAATGCCCAGCATATGTCATCTCCAGGTTCTCCCTTTCATATTCAGGTAGATAACTTGAGTGGCCCTCATATAAAGGGCTATTGAATGTACAAGACCATGCATCTGTAGCCATATGTTTAAATATACTGCCTCAGTTAGAATCATAGTTTGCCCATTGAATATATCATTCATATATGCAGTCTGTATCCCAAGGTAAACCAATATGAAATCTGAATGTAGACTTTGGTCTTCATGCAGAGAGGGAGAACCTGGAGATGACATATGCTGGGCATTCCTGCAGAGCTCTGGGGAGCAGGACCCACTACATTGTGTGACTCATCGTTTCCCACAGCTCTCTAAGGATGAGATTCTTGCCGAGTTGATAAAGAGGAACCTCATTTCATCAGAGGAAAAGACTCACCTTGCAGCCATGTATTTGTCTGCCCATCAATCGGAGGTTATACCTGGGGCATCCTCAGTCATTTGGCTCCAGAAGTTATTCCTTCAGGCAGCTTGCATTCGACTGTGTCTTGATCGAGAGGTCTGCTTTTTCTCCTCCTTTGTGTGCTGTCTCTCCTGTACATACCCCTGTCTTCTAACTGTTAGCTAACTTTTCTTTGATAAATCCTCCTATCCTCTCTAGAATATTAATGGTTTTAAGTGTGCGTGCAAAATGGTGCAGGTCTGGGTACTTGGAAAACACATGACACTGTGCAAACTTTGAAGGTGACAAAGCAAGCAGTGATTCATGGTGGTGAATTAGTGATAGAGTGGAGTTGCTTCTCTGGGGTGGGTAACTTTGATTCAACTAATACCAAACTGGATGCCAAGGGATACAAAAACATGCTAAGTAGGACTTTCAAGAGTCATTTGGCCAAGTGTCAACAACAGGGGCCTGTTCCTCACCTCTGCTAAACTTAAATCTAAATCGAAATCTTAATCTAAAGGGTCAGGGTGAAGAATAGACTTTTTGCTTTTAGACTGCTTTTAGATTTATATTTAAGTCTTGCAGAGGGTGAGGAACAGGCCCCAGGTCTCCAAAGAAGCTTTGCCTTCTTTAGGGGAAATTTATCCAAAATGTTCTTTATAATTGGTTCACAATTTCCTGCACCAGAAGATCCAAGCATTTGAATGGCCAGGAAACTTGCCAGACTTGAACCATATGGAGCACTTGTGGGATTCATTGTGCAGAAAGATCCCATTGAAAGGAAAAAGAACAGAAAAACCTTCAGAAGAGCTCTAATGGGAAAATGGGAAAAGCTGGTGGCAGAAGAGCTGTAGAAACTGGAGGAGAATGTTCCTCCTATTCTGAAGGTTATTATTGGCCTTATTTGTTGCAGCCTTCAAAGACATCAATAAAACATATTGAAATGGAAGAATCCTGATAATTGTGTCAGTTTTACTAGTTTCTTTCAGGCTGCAAATATTGAATTTGACCAAAGACAATAAAATGGTTTTATTGATAGTTTGATGAGTGGCATTAGGAAGTCAAGGATTTCCCATTTTCCAATCAATAAGTATTCATTTAATGAAGTACTAGTGAAATTTGAAGAAAGTACATCATGTGAATTTGAAGGTATCCAATAAAGAGTTCAAAGAAGTATCCCTATCAGACAATTTTTTGAGCCAGTGTACAGGGTGTTCCACAATTCACTTTGATGTAGCAAAAGGTAATCTTTCAAAACTACTGAAAGCAGGTTGATGCTATTTGTATTGATGGATGGCTGGTAATTCAGATATTTTTAAGAATCATTTTCTGAGTCAAGTGTACCAAAACCTCCCAATTTTGGTGGCAATCTCACTCCTTGCCAGATCCAGAAATCTGGAACAGGTGGAGTTATATACATAATCTTGAAGGGGTTGTCCCAGGGAGGCTGTTGGTGTATAGTTTACTCTGTTTTGAGCAGTCCTTCCTACTTTTCTGCTCACCAGAAGTTGACCCATCTTACCACCACAGTTGTGCCTATCAACAGTTATTGGACTGGCTGGTGGTACACTTGACTCAGAGAACGGTTGCTAAAACAGAATCAGAAAATGAGGGCTTAACGGAATTTTTATCAAATTTGTTTTAAACAGAGTCTTCTTTTAAAAGTAATATCATGAATATTTCAAATAACTTCTCAGGATATTGCTGATTCCATGTGCCATTTTTCATGTCAATTGCCATTGACATGGAAATGGGTTTCTCCATCACAGGGGAAGAGGACATGGTTATAGGCTAAAGAGGGAGTAGGAGCTTTTGGATAAGTTGAGTTAACATGAATTTCATTGGATCAGAGAAGTTCAATGAGTGTAAATGTAAAGTTCTTCTCATTGGTCATTGCAGCAGTGGGTCTCTGAATGTGTTTGGTGGTTATGGACTTGGGGAGGCAAATGGGGAGAGGGATTTAGAGAGTATCACTGATAAGATACTATCATAGATCATGAAGGCCAACTGAGAAAAAAAGAGGGAAATTTGTAAACTCTTGAAAAGTGCACAAAATATACAGTATGTACATAAAAGAAAATATGAATACACAAAAACAGGGAAAAGTTGGGAGAAAAACTACAAATGTGGAAATAAAATTTTGAAAGACATTTGGAAAAATTATTAATATGCGAAAATGGGTACTGTACTTATAAAGAAGAAGTCTGGTAGTTATGGCAATTGAAATACCCTGGATTTTAGAAAAAAAAACTGGTACCTGGAGTATTTCATTTTTGCAGAGTCAATTATATGTGCAGAAATGCTCCTTTGTGACCTGGCCAAAACTATATATTTGAATTGGTGAATATAAGGGTATCATATTTTTTAAATATAAATATTACTTACTTTTTTGGATTTAGAGCAAGTGGAGTGAGGACCAGGGGCTGTTGCTGCACCCAACAGTGTTGTTCCCACTGCTGGTGAAGCAGGGAGTTCCATTGATCCCATGGCATGAGTGGCAGGAGGAGGCACTTGAGGACCCAGAGTTCCTCTCCTTGATATCCAAGCTGTCCCTTGACAATGCAGAGAACATCAGAAAGGGTATCCACCCTACCATTCCTCCATCCTGGGACACATCCAAGTTATATGCTGCTGCAGCAAGCCTTGGACTCATCTCCATTGGTCAGGCTCTGTTTTTTTTTTTCATAGCAAAATAAGAGAATTGGCTTTGTTTCGAGTGCAATATTTAATTTTCCTGATTTTCTATTGTAGCTATTATGCAGCTTATGATTGCTTGAGCAGTGAAGTGTGTAGGGAGAAATGAAACCAAAAACCTTTCTTTACTGGTGTTTGTTGAGTAATGGGCTCTTTAGATGTTAGACTCAGAAGGGTCCTAACATATGTGAAGGATATTTGGGCATTATTCCAGCCAGCCCCTTCTCTTGAAGACCAAGAGGTATTGCAATCCAACAAATTTTATTTACATGAGTGGTGAAATGAATTCAAAGTCCTAAGTCTAACATAGATCCACAAAAGTAGTAATACCAATGGAATTCTTGGAAGCAGTGTTATTGAGAGGCAGAAAGCTGATGGAAATATAGCATCCAGGTATTGACGATTGGCCATGTCAGCAATGAGGTAATTGGGGAATGATGCAAGTGAGCTTTGAATTCAGCTTGGTCTAGATTGCTCACATGCCTGATAGTGTAGAGAGCTTTCTAACCCTTTCACTGTGCACAAAGTTACATAAAGGAGTATGAGGCTAAACATCTTTTACATATCAATGTTCCAAGTTCTCTAGTTTTTGTTACTTGGAGATAATGTTGAACTTATGGAATACAGAATACAATGCCTCTTTGTTGTTGCATTCCAATTGGGAAAGACATGCTGAGAATCAGATATGCTGAAGCAGTGGCATAATAGGCCTTTATGAGAATGTAGGGTTGATATCAAATCATCAAAACTCCTGTCCATGAATGAACATTTTGTCAAAAGACAGTTGAGTGAATGCAACTATACTTTAAAGGATTTATTCATAGAAGTGTCTAGAGATTGAAAGGTGTAGGTCATCAGAGCTGAAAATATTATGGTTTTATTTTTTTTGTTTTGACTGTCTTGATTCATGTGCCTAGTGTGCCCTGGATATGGTCTAAATACATCCTGATGTGCATTGCCTATTTAAATCATGTTAGAAGTGATCATGACTCCACAAGGGCAGGATAAGTTTGTGATATATACCTTATTGGAGGAACAAGGTGAGGCACTAAAAAATCACTCTAAACTATTGATAGTGTATCGATGTATCAAAGGAGGGGGGGGGGGGGTGCTGGAGGATTCAATCTTTTCTAGCCTCAATCAGAGCATGGACCTTCATCTGGCTTCCATAATCTCGCGTTTGTGATCGGGGGGTGTGGGAGGAAGGTGTGACCTTCACAACGAGTAATGAAACCTACCATGCCTCCATATATCAAGGATGATATCCATTCATTGATGGATGTCTCAGGACAGCCCTAATTTTTTATTATTGCCATTGAGAAAAGGCACATGTGCCAAGCCTGGTCATGCAATTTTTTTCTCATTTTCTTCGTTCTACACGGTCTTCTTTGGATATCAGCACCAGCAGATAGCAAACCTGCCGATGGTGTCATATCGGTGGTTGCCAAAACATATAGAGAGGGGAAAGTACCACTAATGTACGTTTCGAAATCAAGGGAGTATAAGAACAGTCCACTTTCGCAGTATGCACTTGATGAGATCAAGCTGAAGACTGAAACAGAAAAGAAAAAAATATTCTCGGTCTTCCCTCCCTCTCTTTTCCCACTTCCTGTCTCCAATCCAACTTTTTTCCTTCCCATCTTTCATATAGTCAGTCCAGCATTTCCAGAATTTGATTGTGATAAGAAATTGCAAGCCCATACAGGTCACACTGCCTCTTTCTTTCCCCACACAGATGGACTGTATCATACTGTACTTGCTTCCATCCAATAGGGGATTTCCCCCTTAAAATCTTTTTCCTATGCATCGTGATGGTCGAAAAAACTATCGATACCTCCAACCATCAATAATGGTATTGATGCATTGATCTATCATGACAGCCCTACTTTTAATTGACCATTATTGACAGCTCGTTTTTTTATTCAGTGAATTAATAAATTTTTATAGAGCTTATAACTGCAGTCATTTATACTCCATCACTAAAACCAAAGAACCAGTTCCATTTTAACCCTTTCCAGTCCATTTTATTTGCAACACTATGGAGATTGTCAGACTAGGTCTGCCAGTGGACCGCAAGGTGTTCAAGTTTTATTCATGCAGCCCACCAAACATCTGGACTGTGGCACCCATTGGGTATGAAAATATAGTAAATGCTCAAACTAGCATGGCCTCTCTTCTGAGTGGTGTAGAGCAGTGGCGCCCAACCTGTGGCCCGCTGGCAAAAAGTGGTTCACAAGGTGCCTACAAGTAGCCTTCAAGGCCCTAACCCACAATAAATACCTTCAGGTTTCCTTAAAATAGTCTCCTACTATACTAGTGACTGCATATGGCCTGCGATGGCTGTAGAAGTGAGCCATGTGGCCCCCTAGCTGAAAAGGTTGGGCACCACTGGTGTAGCATATATAGGCATAGCCTACTGTTCAAGGTCTTCCAGCCTTAATAACTAAGAAAGACCTAAGTTACAGCTTTAGAACTTTACTTTAATGATAATGTGAAAAGTAATGGTACCAAAGAACACAAACAAGTGAATCGTGTTCCAGTCCATGTTGCAAGGCCAGATTTCCAACATTCTATCATATTATGGATGTCTCTTTCATTGTTCTTCCTCTTCCCTTCTGCACTTGCCAAGAATTTGCTCCCATATATACAATATTCTCCCTGTTGTGGACATGACACTAGACAATGAAGAAAGAAATAAAACATCCTAGAGTATTAAGGAATCATGAATCCCCAGAAACAAATATGACTGCAAAGGTGAGCTCAGTCTAGATCTCCAAGGACAGTTGATTCCATCATGGATGCCTAGTTCAGGGTCATGCCAATATGTCTTGGGTGACATGATTCATGCATGTTTCATTTTGAGGTGCTCTTTGTTTTTCCAGATGAGCATCTGGCCAGTGCCCTTCAGACCCATGAGGAGGAGCAGAAGCAGCCAGAAAACAGTAACCACAAGTCATCACCACAGAGTCCATTGGGATTGACTGTACCAGGGATGTCATGGATGGATGTGGTGCATGGGAATGAGCCATTGTATCTCTCATCACCATTGACCAGCGAGGAAGACGAGGGACTCATCAGTGACTGTAGCAACCCAGATAACTTGACTACCTCCAAACCCCATTCCACATTTTCCCATTTTCGATGAATTTCTCCAGACTTGAACATATAGATCTTGAAAGTTCAAATATATATATTAAAGCCATATTCCATCTTTTGATCTGCATGCAATGAATTAAAACTGTGCAGAATTTTTGTGGAAACATTCATCGGGTTTGGTTCCCTTAAAGGGTCGCACCATAAATCTTTGACTCCACAGTGCAGTTCATTATTGCTCTGATACAAGGGTCACTCTGAAAGTTTCCAGATATGGACTACTAAAAACTGCTGGGTCTTACTTAAATCATTACACCTTTTTGAAGTATTCTCCCTGAGCATTAATGCTTGTTTTCATCCTTGCCAACTATTTCTCAAAGCATTTTTTCCACTCAGATGTGGAGATACCAAAGTACTCAAATAAATTCAGCAACTTCTTCTTCTGGAGACTGAAAATGCCATCCACGAAGCAATTCTTCAACTCTTGGGAATAGAGAAAGGAGTCACACAATGCCAGGTTTGGACTATAGGGTGAGTGTGAAAGCACCCTGATACCAGACTCATTTAGGAAGTCTTGTGAGTGTGTCTGTGTGACTGGATATACCTAGTTCTGCCATAAATACTGTTACAAGATTTACATGTTCCTTGCATTCTAGCAAAAGAAGCTAGAAACTTGTAACCTGGTAATCGTGTAGTGTATTATCTGCCTTATTGTTTGGTAACATTTTGGCTGTTGTGTTGCGTGCAGTAAACATGGAGTGGGTCCTAAGGATGGGTGCTTACCGAAGAAGCACAGGACACATGCTGACTCCATCTCTGAAAGAAATCAGGAGGTCGCGATTGGAAGTGTTGCTGCAGAGGTACGTGCAAAACAGACACCACAAAATCCTCTTTACTGATGGGAAAATCTTCACTGTTGAAGAAAAATTCAACTGGGCAAATGGCCAAGTGTATGCCCACAACTCTTGGGAAGCTGCAGAAGCCATCCATAAGGCGAAGAGAGGTCACCATACTGCTTCTGTCATGGTTTGGTGGGGGTGAGTTATGAGGATGTCACCAAGGTGTATTTTTGCAAGCAAGAAGTGAAGACATCGACCAAAGTGTACCAGGAAGAAGTCTTTGAGAAGTCAGTGAAGCCTCTCAGCTAAAAAATGTTCAATGGGGAAACTGGATCTTCCAGCAAGACTCCGAACCTGCTAACAAGGTTAGGACAACGCAGGAATGGCTAGCCAGGTCCCCGAGTTCATCAAGGCCTCCGATTGGCCATCTGGGAACCCAATGGACAACAAGCTGTGGGCAGAGTTGGAGCTGAAGGCCAACCACAGAAGGCATCCAAATATTGAAAGTCTCATGCGAGCCCTTGCAGAATCAGCAACCAATATCCAATGGAAGTGGTGCGTACTGCGATGGATGAGTAGTCTGATCGTTTAAAGTCGTGTGAAGGCCAGGGGTGGACATTTTGAATAATGTTTTTGTAATATGTTAGTAATTATGTAGGGAAATAAATGCTGTTAGCAAATACAGCGTGTTTTATATGAAAAGAGTTATTACAAAAAAAACCTTGTAACAGTATTTATGGCAGGACTAGGTATTGTCATCATGGAGCATCCATCATTTTAACCTCTTCAGACCCAATGGCAAAGCTGCATGCCAATTTTGAAATCCTTTGGCTCGTAGCCCAAGTTCCACCTCATATGGTCAAAGCAAGAAACCCAATATTGTTATCCTTGGTATTGGAGGAATAGAGTGGGGTGTGTACGTACCACTGGGTTTTCCTCCATAGAGGTGCACTATTGAGAACATGCATTTTTTAACCGTACTTATGGAAGCCAGTCATCAAGGATGGTATTCGAAAATGTTTCTAGGCCTTGTCATTGTCATTGCACCAACAAAAGAAGCAATTAGGTTGGATGGTATTTCGGAAATACAGAAGCACCGCGGTACCTCACACTTCCCACACTGCTCGCTAGGGAGTGGTCATTAATCCCTTGGGCCCTTCGTACTGTAGTTCTCACTTTTTCAAATACCCGGTATGTGAACTGCACCACAAGAAATGGTTTCTTTGGTGAATCAAGCGGGAGGCACTGCCTGCAAATATGTACCTGAAACAATCATGAGAGGTAGTTCGTCCTCCCCGGATCCTCTGTCCATATATTTGTCTCCTTTCTGGTCTTTCTCTTCGATTTCGCCAGCCTGGTGCTGGAAGGGCTCCAAAACATGTCAAGTACATCAATGCCACTGCATTCAAACTGATGAAGGACTTCTGTGTATTTGGACCCTGAAACGCAAATTTACTGGCGCAATGCCTCGTGGCACGTGTGCATCCCCCTATGTTTTGACCTATCCCATAAGAGCTCTATGATAAGTCAGATATCCCTTTATTTATAAATAGTTTCTCACACTATTTGGCAATGCAGTTCAACATGTATAATTTTAGGGTCAATAATGAGCAATCGACAATGGCTTTTATGATCGCAGACGCAGGCGGCCATATTCAAAGAAGCGCCAAGTTCACAAGCCTTTGCTGTGATGCAAATGAGTCAAATGAGACACATGCATTTTTTTTCCGGGAACTCCGTTTAATTTTCTATGGCTTACAGTGTGATCATCCCTCACAGCACAGCTGGATCACAGCTGAGTTACAGCAGTGCTTCTCTTCTGTTTTCTCTGCTGCTACTCAGCTGCAAGATGTGTGACATTCCCACTTGAGAATTCATTGATTTTCTCCTCTTTTCCATCTGCATCCCAGTAGAGTGTACTACCTGGGACTTCCCCTTTCCTTCCCTGCGGATAGAATGTTCCATCCTCCCCCAGAAATGAAAACACGACGGTTAGAATCATTATCAACGCGTTTATCGCCTGAGCTCCATGATTCTGCCTCGAATATGGGGATAAGAAATGATTAAGTATCCGATTTAATTGATTGCTATAATTAGACTAGGAAAGACGTATGGTTAGGTACTAAATACTCCTGTGAGGGATGATTCCATGGAAAGAAGGAAGTGCACTTTTGTGTACTGTGAGAAAAGCGAGGCCCATACCTCCATCTAGTGGCCTAGAGGAGAGCTTCTCCCTCCATCTGCCCATTTTAGCCCAGATTTCCCGCGAGTAAGGCTCCCAAGTTCGCCAATTTTCCAAACCTCTGCCTGGGTCTGATAACGAACAATTAAGTGAGCACAAGCACGACATACACCACTTAATTTATCATAAATTAACCTTAAATATACCTTTTGTCTCCCGAAGGTTCTAAAATTACCCAGCGTTGAGAATGCACTACAACTAACGGAAGACACTGCGGGAAACCATCTGCAGTTTTTTCTGAATGACCAATAGAATTCGCCCCATGACGTAACCCACGCAGACTTTCTTAGTCTTCCCCTGTTGGAATGCAGTTGCCTCAAAACAGACACCCCAGTTGTATGCAAGCTGTTGAATAACAGCTGCACTTCAAAACGCACTAATCGCCTTTATCACTGCTGGATAATCACAGCAGGAAAACACTTTGGACATTACTGAGCTTCCTCAGCTGACTTGTCTCGGCTCCTTCCCAGCTGAGTCCTTGCTGGATATAACCAGTTTTATGGCAGCTGATATGTTGCTGTATCCTAGCTGCAGGACAGTAGGATCATATCCATATCGCTATTTTCTCGTCTAGACGCGTTAATCTCAGCAGGAACACAGCTGGGATTTAAGAATTGTGTTCATTGGGAAGGGACCCATCGGCTGGTGACCCTCTTCAGACCAAGAGGTCTGTGCAGGACGCCATTCAATGTTGCTGACCCAACCCCAAAGTAGTGCTTGAATGTCCTCATATGTAATTCGATTGTCCTCTTCAACCATCTTCCTAGCAATGGCCACATTTGCATCTGTCGCTGCAGTTGGTGGCCGGCCACAGGAAGGCTCATCCTTTGAGAATACCCTTCCCCTCCGAAACTCTGCAAACCGCTCAAAAATTGTGCTACGAGATGGTGCTTCCTCTCCAAAGGCCTGTTGCAGGTGCTCAAGACTCTCCTTTGGGCCAAGTCCACTTTTGAAGTCATAGAAAATCATCGTTCGGAAATGCTCACGTGACAAATTCATCTTGAACTCAAGGAATCCCTGAACATGAGAAGTTTAAAAATGTATAAAAACGGTTAAAGGCAACAATCAATTCTGAAAGTACTGATACATAGTATATAGTACACAGTACATAGGCCTGTACTGATAGTCCTAACTCGGAGGAAAATTCTCAGCCTGAGAGGAGGTATCAGAAGCCCTCATCCGGAAAGTGACCCTCGTATGATAGCCATTCTACAGGGTGGGGCAGAAATACCGGACAGTTTTTCAATTGTAATAACAAATTACTGATAGCTAATACATTTTATAGTGATATATTTTTTAATTTTGCACACATTGGAGTTTTTTGTGCCTAATTTTTTTAAAGATGATATCCTGCAAATGGGCTCCTTCGCGGTTAATACATTCTCCTGCGCATGTGATAGGCGAGTTGAGTGTTTTCGCAGCGCTTTATTTGTCGCTTTGGGGACTTAAACTGGCCTTCCCCCTCGCCAGACCTGTCAACGCCTGATTTTTTTCTTGTGGGGCTATCGTAGTATGATATTATCGGGGACAATCTGCCCCGGGCTTCATGTATCAAGGGGTGCTGAGGAGCCTTCGGTTTAGTTTTGTCCCGAGCCTCTAAAAACATCCCAGATAATACGTTACGTTGGGTCCACATTGGATAAAGGTGGGAAACGTTGGCGGAACGTGAATGTTGGGGAACGATGTTGGCCCAATGTGGGCCCAACGTGGGCATATCCACACGTTGAAAAGAACTGCAGCACTCCTGGTGGAAAACTTCAAAACCTTAAAGTTCTTCGCCAGGCCACTAGATGTAGGTATAGGGTCTCGCTTTTCGCACAGCACGCAAAAGATCCCTTCCCTCTTTCCCTGAAATCGTCCTTCGCAGGATTGTTTAGTACTTCGCCATATGTCTCGCCTAGTCTCATTACAGGAATCAATAAACGCGGACACTTCATCATTTGTTATCCACTTATTCAAGACAGATTCAGGCCATAAACAAACTCATATTCCCGATGAGAATCCTTTTGAAAGGCGGAAAAATTCCATCCGAAAAGGAGGTTT